GAAAGGGGTGCAGGCTAAACAATACTCAGCAGCGAAATGTGGTTAGAGTGGGTGTTATATAGTGAATGAGGTAATTAGAAACAGCTGTGTGCAATGAGTGCAAAGAATGATTGGAAATGTAGTCCGGGGTGCTATGCAACAGTTTGTGTAGTGCGAGAGTCAATGAAATGGAAAGGGTGACCTCTGGTGGTGAATAAACAGAAGTCCATGGACTGAATTCGTGACAATTACTGTTTTTACTGTATTTTTGATCAAATAAATGCCTTGATGAGCACTGAAGAGACTTCTAAAAAAAACATTACAAATATTACTTATCCCACAGTTTTGAACGTACATGGAGGTAGTGCATTTAATAATTTAATAAATTGTTACCATCTCAAAAAAATTTTTTATATATTGCAAGAATAAAGCATCTTCGTTTTTATAACGGTAAATGTAATTGATTTAAGACTGAATGCATTTTCTACATTTGTAGTTTTTTTTTTTTTATTCTTAAATTTTTTCATTTTTTTTTAAATAACCTTTTTATTTTCATATTCTTGTTTCTGTATTTGTTCTTCTGAAAGGCGTCTTGTTCACTAGTTGGATAAATCAAGTGGACCAATGTTTGTTTAAACTTAGTATTTTTGATTTAGTTATGCAGAGAGGGCAACTTAAGGACATTTCGTTCATTTCTAGATGGTTCTGATGAGGGTGCAGAAACCATTGTGAACCATCCAGAAACTAACCAAAGGAGCACCAAGTAAAAGAACAGAAAAAAGGGAAAACAACTGGCAAAAAGCATCGATGTTTTGTTACCAAAATTTGATTGCTGACTCTTTAAATAGCAAACTGATTCTTAAATGAGTTTAGGTGAAAAGACAGTGAAATAAAACTAATAAAAAGACAGCAAAAGCAAATAAGCATCACAATGTAACTACTTGGAAAACTTGTCTGATCAGCACCCAAAAGAAGTCAGACAAAAATATAACTCAAAGCACAAGGCAGTCTGTCAGAAAAAGTTATATTTTAAATAGAATTTCTCTTTGCATTAAGAATCAACATGTATATGAATCTAAACAAAATATGAAATAAAATGCAAATAAATCTACAGTTGCATAAACCATCATTTTCCATCTATTTTTGTGATCTCTTTGCCATTCTACAATGGATAAAAAAAAAGTTCGAATGTAATCATTTCAGGATTTCAGGTTTTCCTATTAAGCAACTTTTTGTATTCTCCAGTTGACACAGTATTTCATTTTTTTTGTAGTTTTAGTTGTTTTGTTTAAAACGGTTGTGCAGACACAGAATCATTTGAGTTACATAAAGCTAAATAGTGGTCTATAGATAATGAAAAAACATAAATATTCAGTAAAATATTACATAAAAACAAACATGTTTTTAATTTGTCACAAAAATCAGGCACAACACCAGATTCATGGTGCCAGATTGAAATAAACCCTAATCAAGGTCTTTGACCTTTCTGTAGTCAGTTCTAATGATGATCATGAGAAGCCATCATTTTTTTCAGGCCGTTTGCTCTTTATCTGTGCTTATGCTACATGCGTCAATGTAACTGTTCTCCCGATTTTGTCTTCAGACATCAAAGCTTTTGTTGACCAAACTGGAACATGCACAAGTTTAGCTTTTCAAAAATTTTTTACTTTGACAAATATGTCAATGTCCCACTAGAGGGCAGAATTAAACTTACTTAGGGCTGCTGGATGACTGAAAATGAAAAATGATTAAATCAAAAATGCTTAAGCTTGTAAACATCAAGCTGCAGCTATGCACTTTAACCATAAAATATCTTAAAAGCATGTCATTTTGAGGTAAGACATCCTGGATCAGCTAAAAAGGCAACTTATTCTGCTATCCAAAAATAACTTATTGTCTATGTCTCTTAATATTTTATAACATCTGTATACACATTTAAACAATTTAGGCAAAATATTATAATAAAAATTACAGCGATAACTGCTATATAGCCTAATAAAATATACCTTTCTTTAAATGCTAGCAAAATGTTGTCATTAACATTTGTTTTACTGCCTGTATAAAATATGGCCTGTATGAAAATTATTTTGAAACTCTCTGACTACAACATTGAGAGTCTATGCTATACAGTTGGGTGCAAAAGGTTGCATTATTCCCCTCGCAAATTCCCTTAAGTGGTACTGTAACAAAAACCTTTTTGTTTTATTAAGTCCTGCTATCTGACATAACATAACATTTCACAAGACAAAATAATTACAGAATTTTGATGAACTGGCCTTTTTATTCAATCTTGGATATGAGTTTACATTCCTTTGGTTCTTATGATGGTCAGTGTGAAGCTTTATTGATGATGATCAGGAACTGTTTGCATGTTTTGTGAAAGTTATTCATGAGGTTTTTGACTCGCCACCACACACACACACACACACACACACACACATATATATATACAGTGGGGCAAAAAAGTATTTAGTCAGCCACAAATTGTGCAAGTTCTCCCACTTAAAAAGATGAGAGAGGCCTGTAATTTTCATCATAGGTATACCTCAACTATGAGAGACAAAATGAGGAAAAAGCTCCAGAAAATCACATTGTAGGATTTTTAAAGAATTAATTGGTAAATTCCTCGGTAAAATAAGTATTTGGTCACCTACAAACAAGCAAGATTTCTGGCTCTCACAGACCTGTAACTTCTTCTTTAAGAGGCTCCTCTGTCCTCCACCACGCTAAGTTCACATACTTGTTCCTCCAAAAAAAAAAAAAAAAAAAGCTACAGCCAGTTATTCTGCTTTGAAATGTGTGTTCCGTGTCAGCATGTCTGTTTTTATTTTGGTCTGTGTGATTCCGCCCACTGCTAATTTACCCAATAGTATTTAGACACACTGGGTTGCCAGTTAGCGGAAAACTTAGCAGTATTGCAGCCATGGAAGCGAGCAAACAAACTGGGTCAGAGGTCGGAGATTCTACCCGACCTAAAAAGCCTTGGCATCCAAGCTCTATGAACAGAGGCTTATTAAAACATAGATAAGTCAACTCATCAATTTACAGTGTAAGCCTTGTTTCCCTCCATTATCAATTGTGCTCATTCCTGTTTCGTGTCCTCAATCTGGCAACCTGCAATCTTTTGAATTTGGACCGCAGTACCCATGTCAACTGCTAGCTGTCAATATCACATACTGCACCTTTAAAAAGTC